ACCTATTTCTCCCTCCTTCCCTTTTCAGCAGGCATTAAGGCAGTGTTGTCCAAACTTGGCCACTTTAAGATGAGTGGACTTCAAATCCCAAAATTTCCCAGCCAGCATGGAATTCTGGGAGTTGAAGTCCACTCATCTTAAAGTGGCCAAGTTTGGACAACACTGCATTAAGGAATCACTTTCTGGGGCTCAAGTGGCTTTGCAAGGCCCCCAGAGTCACAATTTGGCAGACCCCACCCTCATTTTCAACAAGCCTTGCTCCTCTGCGCCTCACCCGGAAGGCGTGGGATCTAGAGGTATTCCTTTACCGCTCCAGAGGCTGTGTGAACTGCAATACCGCTGCACGAAAGGTTTTCCCATCCCGGCTCGTCTTCCAAGGGGAATCAGAATTCTCTTGCTCCTGTCCAGTTCTGGGACCCACAAGCAATTTGGCCAAAGGTGACCCCCAAGCGCTGGAACCAAAGGGCGCTTTTTCCACGTGCAGCCTCTCCATCCGGAGAGGCCCGCTCGCTCTGGCACGGCTCCCAGCTTGCTCCCCACTGCATCTCCCATCTTGGCTTTGGAGTCCCTTTCTCGGTCTCCTTCGCTGACTGCCTGATCCAAATCCAAGACAGCCAGCTCACCTCCTCGACACACGTCTCTTGGTAAAGTGCATTTACAAAAAGAAAAAAAAAATTAAGAGAAAGACAAAACCGGAGCCTTGCTCGCTTCCCTGCGTCCTTGCTGCTCCGGGCTCTTGGCGTTTCCCTAGCTTGAACGTCTGCCCTTCTTCCTTGGGGGCATCCCGGGTGTTTTTCATGAGATAAAGGGGGTCCTGGAAGATCCTCCGAGGCGGTAAGCAGCAGGCCCAGAGATTGGCGAGTCTCTGCAGGCGTTGGTGGAGTCTGTTGGGGAGGAGGAGGGCGCAGCTGGCGGGAAGCTATACGATGTTTGCTGTCCCGGGCAGGGGTTCCTGCGGGGGGCCGTGGGGATCCGGCTTGCTGTGGAGCTGGGCCAGCTGCAGGACGGCCATGTTGCAGAGGGGGCACACTTTCCGCACCTCCAGCCATTTAATGAGGCATCTGTGGGACGAGAGAGAATCCCCTTGAATTGGAAAGCTGCCACGGCTATCACAACTAAAGCAACTCCATGGTTGGCTAGAGACAGACATTGGAAAGATCTTTTTGCCCTGATCGGGCAATGTCAGGAAGGCCTTTCTAACGAACCGAGGGACGAATTGGTAAAAGGGCACACCAGAGAATTTTGGAAGCGTTATTTTAGCACGGTGGGTTGCAGGAGTCGAGGCCAAGAAGGAATTAACAGAGAGAGAGAGAGAGAGAGAGAGAGAAACGTTCACATTTTGTCTCTCCTTCCTGTCCTCCTTGTTGCCCATGTAAATAGGAGATATATGAATATATGGGCTTTTTCCAAACAGGGTTGTGGCTGGTGGACCATCGCCTCTCCCACACCTTGCTCAGGAACAGCTGTGGATAAATAGCTGGGAATTGTTCTGAACTTCAGGACCCAGGAAGCGCTGGCCATTCTCTGCATCCAGAGAGCAAGCCCCACCCCCCACTCCTAATTTTAATAGCCACACTGGCCAGAAGTTCAAAGCTTCCAGAGCTTTGGGGCTGGCTGGGAAAATCTGGGAGCTGAAGTCCACACATCTGTAAGTTGCCAAGGCTGAGAAACCCTGCCTTAGACCAACCACTGGTTTCAGATGGGGGGTTTCTCCTAGACCCGCTGGATATGGGAGTTGCTACCTCACAACGCCCATTCCCCTGCTGAGCTGCATTCATTTGGGGAAGACCTACCCTTAAGTGAAATCTAGCAAGCCATGTCCATGACTAGCTAATGTATGCCAAGCATTTTTTCCTTCCTCATGGCCATGACAATCACGGTACTTGGCTGCGACAGGATGGGCAAGTGAGAAAACAAAGTGTCCCCACCCTCTGCCTAGGTGGCTCTACGTATTGTGCGAATGGGCAACCCACAGCCGTCCGAGGAGACCCCCGCGTTGGCATTTCCCTCTCATTCTCCCAGCTGACCCGGGCTTACTTTCTATGGAACGCATGTTTGCACGGACATATTCCCAGCTCATCTTTGGGCCTGAATTCTTCTAAACAAACGGCACAGATCTGAAAAAGAAGCAGAGGAGAAAAGTTTTAAGAAAAAAGTCAGTGAATGATCAGCTGGGCACACTGGTACAGAATATCTGGCATTTGCGGCAGATCTACCTGGACATCTGAGAAGACAAGGTAAGGTGGCCAACCCAGCTAGAAGGAGGACTTGCCTGATTTTGTCTTGAGTTTGGAAGCTAAGCAGGGTCAGACCTGGTTTTTAATTGGAGGGGAAATCTCAGGGTTGTAGGCTAGGTTGGGAAGCCATGAAAACATCTGGAAGAAGATAATGGCAAACTGTTTCCCTATTTTTGTTCCAAGAAAGCCACAGAGACATTTCTCCATAGTCAAATCTGACTTGAGAGAGATGACTTTGGCACAGAAACTAGACTTTATGATGGAACCAAGCCTGCCAAATGTTACCCTTTGTCAATGTCAGATTAAACTATGTTCCTTTAAAATTTGGAAGCGGGGGGTTATAGATTCTCTCTTGGCTGTCTGGGGACAGAATCTGACGAAAGTTGAAGCAAATGGATTCCTTCGTTTGCAAAGTGAAGGCCGTGATTAATTGGGTGAACTCCTAGCGAAACTGCAAGAGCTGCTCCAAAGGAGGAAGAATGGGCTCACCAAGAAGGAGCAGAGACCCCCCATAAAATATACCATGTGCCAAGGCTGCAGTGCTAGCCCTAGGCTAGTCCTGATGGCTAGGTTCCCCTGAATTGAAAGAAAATCCCATATTCTCATCCCTCGGTCCACCTGGGTTTCTGAGAAAGCCACTTTCTCAACAGCGTTGCTCCTGCATTGCACATTCCAGAGAGCAACTCATGAGTACCATTTTCATAGAATCCTGGAGCTGAAAGGGACCTTGGAGATCTTCCAGTCCACCCCCTGACCAGCACAGGCATCCTCAGACCATCCCAGACAAAGGGCTGTTCAACCTTTGCTTGAAAACCTCCAGCGATGGAGCCCGATCGAGAGTCAGGCTGTTCCTCTGCTTCGTAGCTCTTATGGCCCCAAAATTCCTCCTTATTTTGAGTTTGGATCTCTCTCTGTAAAACTGCCACCCATGGGTTCTTGTCCTACCCTTGGGCACTAGGGTGAATAAATCCTTGCGACAGCTTTTCAAGAATGGGAAGACTGCTGTCATGCCTCTCCCTAGCCTTTTCCTCTTTAGGCTAAACGGACCCAGCTCTTTTAACCTTCCTTTGGCCTCCAAGTCCTTCACTATCTTTGTGGCTTTCTCTGTACTCTTTGCAGTTGCTCAGTGTCCTTTTTATACTGTGGCAAGTAAAACTGGACATAGTGTCTCAGGTGCAACATTATACCTCTGTTGATGCAGCCCAAGATCGTATTAGTTCTTTTCGCTGCTGCAGCACGGAACTGGCTTGTGCCTAATCAGTGCTCTACCAGGACACCCAGATCTTCTCCCACGTTCTACTGCTGAGCCAGGTATCACCTTATCTTGTACCTGTGCATCTGTTTTTCCCTGCCTAAGTGCAGAACCCTACATTGTTCGCCATGAACACTATTTCGTTGGATGGGGCCCAATATTCAAGTCCACAAAGATCCCTTTGCCTGTCCTCTGAGATGTTAGCAATCCCTCCCCCCACCCTGCAGTTTTGCAATGGTCCAAATCCAGAGCAAAGATCTGAATTATCCCACTTTGCTTCTATCTTTGGGACCCATCTGAATTTGATGTATTCCCTTGCAGTTATGAAAAGCTGCATCACTGATTTTTTTTTTAAAGACTCTGAGAAGCTTTTCAGCTTCCCAGTCTTGTTTCCAGCTCTGGACTTTACTAATGGGTTTCCTATCTGAGTACTCCTCAGATCCAACCCTGGTTAGCTTTTTCAAGCTGAGCCAAGGCCAATTAGGTGATGACACCTCCTGATGAGCTAAAAGTAAAGTCTCCTTTGATGGAGCCCCATTCCAGGTGAGTTCATGGATGTGTCCATGAGGTTTTATGGGGAGCAATTCTGTAGTGGTTTGCTATGGGCCCAGCCCTGGAGTTTTCTAGGGGTCTCCCATGTAAGTACAAACCAAGTCTAGCCCAGCTTAGCTTTTTCAAGATGACTCACATTGCTGCCACCTACTCACATATTCTTTCCCACCTGGAACCCTCCACATCTGGATTCCCAGAGAGCAAATTCCCAAAGGCCGTGGGAACTGAACTCCAAATGCAGTTTGTTATCAAGGCTAAATGATAATGAAGATTTGTCTGTGGCAGTGGAAGTAGAGTTTGACTCATAACAAAATGCTGAGATACTAACCTAGGGTTCCTCAACCTTGGGAACTTTAAGAGGTGTGGACTTCAGCTCCCAGAATTCCCTTGGCTATGCTGGCTAGGGAATTCTGGGAGTTGGTCCACACCTCTTAAATGTCCCAAGGTTGAGAAACACCATACTAACCAATGGTATTGGTAGTTTAAGCAACTGAGAGACCAGCTTACCTCGTGTAAATTGAGTTCTTTGACCTTTTCCTTTAGGATAACCTGAAAATAAAGATAGCATGTTGATAGAGGAATTTTATCATTGCAAAACAAAGAAAAACAAGGAATGCAAACACAGAATATTCTGAATTTTTTAAATAAGCTTTCCCCAACCAGGAAGTGCGCTTCCAGATGTGTGGACCAACTCCCAGAATTCTCAGCAATGGCCATGTTGGGCTGGGGAATTCTGGGAGTTGAAATCCAGAATGAAGGATGTTTTAAGGTCTAGAATCTGGCAGCAAATGGATGTTGCTCCCTCATTGAGAGCTCCTTGGTTGTTCTGTTTACAGGACAAATGTGGACAGTCATCCTTTTTAAAGTGATTCATTCCTTGCTGGGGAAAGATGAGCACAGCATCATCTGGAAGGCCACTATGAGGAATATTCTTGGCATCTGGCAGATAAATTCCTTCAGATTCACTTGGACTCTGACTGGGCAGGTCTGGTCAAGGTGATGGAAGCAAGGTCTTGTATGGTTACCTGGGACAAGGTAACTCCTGAGGAAGTAGACAGGATGCTCAGGTTAGTTAACCCAGCCACCTATCAATTAGATCCATGCTCCTCCTGGCTGGTGAGGGCCACTCAGTGTCTGTGTGTGATGTGGGTTCATGCAATAATATTTGCTTTGTTGAAAGAATCGGGGTGGTATTGCCTGCCCTGAAGGAGACAACCCTCAGTCCTGGACAATTTTCATGCAGTCTCCAACCTTCCCTTTTTGGAGAAGTTTGTGAAGGTGGTCAGGCTACAGCTTCAGAAGATCATGGAGGACATGGGTTATTCAGACCCTCTTCAGTCAGGTTTCATTCTAGAACATAGCACTGAGATGGTATTGGCCATGCTTGTCAATGATCTTTGGCAGAGGTAGGATGGGGTGGTGCAACCATCCTGGTTCTCCTCAATCTCTTGGCAGCTTTTGATACCATCAACTATGGTATTTTACATCTTAACACCAGGCTGACCAGATGATGCTGTCACGGTCTTGTCCTAGTATCTGGAGGGAGTTTGGATGGAGAGGAACAAGCTCAAGCTCAACTCTGACAAGATGGAGAGACTGGTTGCTTGGACCAACTGGATCTATAGATGTTCCATATTTACTCCTGAACAGCATCACAATTCCTCCTTTGTGACTGGTACACAACTGGAGAGTCTTGGACTCACAGCTCCTGCTTGAGTGTAGTGAACCAATTGTTCCCATTCCTGGACTTGGAGGCCTTTAAGATAGTCATTCATACTTTGTTCACCTTGGGTTTGGACTACTGCAATACACTTTACATGGGACTGCCCTTAAAGACCACTCAGAAGCTGCAGCTGGTCCTGAACAGTTGCAGTTATGGGTATGCCACAGTACGATTACATAAAACCTCTGTTGTGTGAGCTGTTCTGATTATGAGCGGGCTTCTAGGTATGGTTTAAGGTGCTAGCTACCACCTATAAAGCTCTTTATGGCATAGGGCCTGGCTACCTGTTTCTGCCCATCCTATATGATCTGGCAGAGTTGGCATGCTGAGGGTCCCATCGATTAAACAATACCATCTGATGGGAGCTAGGAAGCAGGGCTTCTGCCCCATAGTGCCTGCCCTCTGGACTGATATCCCCCTTGAGATTTGCACAGCTCCCACCCTCACTGCGTTCAAACAAGCTATGATGATGATGATAATGATTACTTATTAAATTTATCTGCCTCCCAGCGACCGTGACACTGGGTGGTTTACAAATGGGTCAAAACATTTAAAAACGAGGAAACAACTTCTGTGTTGCTTTTTAAGACGTCCACTGTTGAGACAGTATGCATTTTATTGTTTTAAATCTACACTATAGAGCGCCTAGAGCCAAAATGGAGTTGGGCAGTGTCTAAAGTTGGTAAATAAATACATTGGGGAATCAGCAGAAGCAAGAGACTAGCTGGGATTCTTACAGCACCATCCTGTGTCAATGGATTGTACCTATTGAGGAAGACACCTTGCATGGGAGCCCCTGGATCTAGAGATGATGGAAAGCGAAATCCATCTCACAAAACCTTTTGACTAACTACCTGATCATTCTCTGCTTCCCTTCAGGGGAGATGCCAGGCAGGAAATTCACCTAAGTGCTTCTGCACAAAAAGCAGGGACTCTCTTGAGTTCCATAGTTTGTCACCCTCCTCCTTCTCCTTCCCTAATTCCAGGTGCAAGTACTTCCTGGAGGAGTAGATACATTCTGATTATGCTCAGGCACTCAGTTTTCTCCAGTATTCCTTCAGGACAAAAGAGCAGTGCCAAGAAACAGACCATACTGGGATAATTAACTGGGCAAACATGATTGATTGATTGATTGATTGATTCAAATTTGTAATAGCTGCCCAACTCCAATGGACTCTGATTGACTCTTGAATGATGGGTTCTTGGAAAGCTATCTAGTCCTACACAGAGTATGATGTCAATAAGATCTTAAATGCCTTTTACTCTGCTTATTTCTTCAATCAGCAACCTTAGTGGAGATCCGTGGTGCCACCTGATGTAACCTTCCATAAGACACCCTCAGCTTCCTCTTTAATTCCACTCAATGCAAAATGTTAGCCTCAGCCCCCTTGCCCTTTTGCACTCATCCCCAACTGGGTTGGTGAAAGAGTTTGGAAGAATCCAAAACCTTCCAGGCTATTTTGGTGACTTAGATCTGCCTAATAACAGCACCTCTTGCTCTGCGCAAGACTCCCAATTCACCCCTCCCAGACAGATGCCTATCTAGCCTCTGCGCAAACCCACCCAACAAAGAGGAACCTAGAACCTCTCTCATGTGATATGCCCCATCCAATTTGATTTCTTTTTCTACAGGATGAACTTTGCTTTTGCGTCTACTAAATTTCCTTCTAATACGTTCAATACACTTTTCTAACACATCTAGATCATTCTTGAATTCTGATTCTAGAACATTAACCTCTGTGTTGTTCCACTTACTCATCTGGTTCAATGTTTCTCAACCTTGGCAGCTTAAAGGTGGGTGGACTTCAACTCCCAGGATTCCCCAGCCAGCTATGCTGGCTGGGGAATTCTGGGAGTTGAAGTCCACCCAC